CCCATCGCTGACCTTCCAGAGAGTTTTCAGAGACAGTAAATAGCTCAGGAGAAGAATCTACATATTTCTCCCATGGATCACTTCATGGACTTGAACTGCGTGCCTTTCAGACTGCAGCACAGCTCCTTACCACTAGGCCACCAGAACTCCATAGCTGGACAATGACCAGGGAGGAGGATAGAAGGAGAATTGATGCTTTTGAGCTTTGGTGTTGGAGAAGAGTGCGAGGGTACCATGGACTGCTAAGAAAACAGATTCATTCTGGAGAGGGTTAAACCGAGCTACTCCTTGGAGGCAAGGGTTCTGAGACTTTGCCTTGACATACTTTGGTCATGTTGTAAGGAGGGACCGGTCCTTGGAGAAGGACATCATGCTTGGGAGGGTGGAGGGCCGGTGCTGGAGGGGAAGGCCCTCTGGGAGATGGATTGATTCGGTGACTGGGGTAATCGGGATGAGTGTGTCGGAGACAATGAGATTGGCACAGGAAAGAGCAGAGTTTAGAGCTGTTGTACATAGGGTCGCTATGAGTCGCAAGCGACTCCACGGCACACAACAACAACAACAACAACAACAACATGTAGAACACTTTACCATTTCTCTTTCTAATAACATTTACTTCCTCTTACACCTTCACAGCTTTCACAACAATCACAAGTTTTTTTTTCTTTTTTCTTTTGTAATTTTTTGTTGCTTTTACAAGGTAGCTTTATTGCACACTGATTATGCCGTGAATTCGTAAGGAAGAGGTTCTAGCCTCACGAGCTCCTTTCCTCTCGTTCTCGCAATGACTCTCTGCGGAGAGCGGGCTGGCATTTCAGCGGGACCCACGTGCCTTTCTCCTTGGCTTCCTTCTTTTTCTGATCATTTTCCTTCTTCACTCCTATCAGGAAGCTGTCTCTGCTCTTCGAGTGCTTCATATGCTCAATGCACACGTTAATTCTCTTGGCAAGAATTTCACCCTTGTTTTTTCACAAGGAGATCAACAGCACGCTGGACGACACGGTGGACTCCTCCGGTTTGGCCATGCTAGCATTTGTGAGGCATTCCTTTTTGAGCAGTGCCCATTCCCTTGATGTCTGCAATGTCTCATTTCTTGTAGATTTGCATCGAAGTGGCCAAAGGAACTGTTTCCTAACGGGTTGAGAGAACATACAGCAGATGCCCCTCCTCTTTCCCTTTGTGTTGTCATGTTGGGGGATCCCACGCCAAAGGAAGTGAGAGACAAGTTTTCTAAGAGAATATGAAAATCTGTTTTATTTTTCCACCTCCCTCCCTCCCATCCTGGTAGCCAGTGATGAAGTCCAATCTCTATACATTTGCTTATGGTAGATATTTCACACATGTGGGACTGAAAATATTTGTCTTTTTTTTAATTATATTTTATTAATTTTCATAAACATTTACAGAGATTTTGGGCTTCCACTCATTCATTGTTGCACTATTCTCTCTACCCTCCTCCCAGTTTGTTCTTGTCCAAAATATTTGTCTTTTTATGACTGTCTTTTTTAGCATGCTATTTTCAAACTGTATTTTTTTTAGAATTGTATTAAAGGAAATATTAACTGGAAATAGCTGAAAAGATGTGTTAGATCACAGTTAAAGTTCTTAAAATGACTGATGTTTGCAAACAACAAATGCTGGCGAGGTTTGGAGGAACTGACACCCTTATTCACTATTGGTGAGGGTATAAAACAGTGCAACCGGTATGGAAGGCAGTATGGAGCTTTCTCAAAAAGTTGCAAATAGAAATACCATTTGGCCCAGAAATTCCACTACTGGGAATATACCCTAAAGAAACAGTAACTGCCACCCAAGCAGATATATGCTCACCCAGATTAATTGTGGCTTTATTCACAATAGCAAAGAGCTGGAAACAAGCTAATTGCCTATCAACAAATGAATGGATAGAGAAGCTCTGGTATATTCACACAATGGAATATTATGCTGCATTGAAAAATAAGGAACTCATGAAACATTATACAAAATGTGTGACCCTGGAGGACATTATGCTGAGTGAAGTATGTCAGTCACAAAAGGACAAAATCTGCATAGTGCCACTATTGTAAAACAGGACTGACAACAGGGTTGCTGGGAGACTGAGAAAGATGGGATAAATTATGTATACTGCATTGAAATAGATGAGGGAGAGAACTGTTTAAAAGGGATATGTGATTAGGTATTATTGTCATAACAGGAGTCCAGAGTGAAGGCTGCTTAGTGGAGTGGACTTAGGGGAAGGGATTGTGTAACAATGGAAGAATTTTTCTTTTATATTTCAAACAGAAGAGCAAATTGGCGGGGGACAGGTGGGCACCTGTAGCAGAAGATTACTTGCAAAGGTAATTTAGAAACAGAAGCAGTAAACTTTCTTGTGGAAAATGCAGAGCCAAGAGTTTTGAGTGTCCAGGGCTCACAGTCTCACCTCTAAACTGACTTATCCTACATGGGACCAGAGGGTGAAACACTCTGGTTTATTTCCAGAATCCCCTGTGTCACAGGTCAGCTCCAAGAGCTGGGGTAGAAAAGTTCAAGAAAGTCTTCTCATCTCCTGGGAGATCCTGGTAGAGTCTACTATATTGACTGGACATAATAGCAATGTGTTCTAAGGAAACAGTTCAATGGACCCAGAAGATAGGCCCTTTGGCACATGCTTATGATGAAGCTGAAATAGAGGCCGTAGGTGTTAGCCTTTCCTGTCTTTAGTTTTTGATGTTTGTGCACTATTCTCTTCTGGGGTGATGGTAGGAAGTTGAGATTTGCTGACTTCACTCACTCATCAGTGAGACCCAGAGAGTGTACCCATTACCTATTGTATTCTTACGAGGTGCTATTCATTAGTATATGTACATGCATGTATTATCTCATCAACCCTTGAAGAACCTCCAGATACAGGGAAGCCAGAGCCTCAAACCTATGCAGAAGAGAAACAGAGCCATGGTAGGGCCCCAGGCAGATGGTGGGAAGAAGTGGCTCTAGGGAGGAGGGTGACTGATCAGGGAGGAGGATGGAGTCAACCTGTGCTGTGTTGGGGGCAGGAACAGCCCGAGTGAAGCTTTTCCCTCTGGAGTTGAGGCCAGTGTTTATATAACTGTTGAAACATCAGTGAGTCTGATTCTAAGGTTACTAATCCACGGGGGTGAACTTGTGGATTATTGCTAGTGTGACACTCAATAGCACATGGATGGGATGTTGGCCAGAAAGGGAATTAAGGGAGGCATCTGGGGGAAGCCCCTTGACCATTATTTATCTGAGTAAACCCTCACTTAGTACTCACCATGTGCCACTGTACTGCTCTTACTTGTCACTCAAAGAGCTGTGACTCACAGCACCATTTCATATAAGACAATGAAACATTGTTTGGTCATATGCCATCTTCATGGGTTCTGGTATGTTTCAGTCCATTGCTGCAGCTGTTATGTACAGCATTCCAACCAAAAGGACTTATTATCTTTCAGTACTATAGTACTATGTAGGAGAATATTATTTTTATCATCCATAGGGTTTTCACTGGATCATTTCTGAAAGTACACCTACCCCTCACTGATTGGACTATTCTGTTATTGGGCTATCTTGTTGTTGTTGTTACATGTTGTCAAGTCACTTGCATTTCATAGTGACACAATAGCTCTGGACCCTGTCAGGTGCCACCAAGTTGAGTACGACTTATAGGTGTACATGATTCAGGCCATGGTCTTCTCAGTCACTTGCTATGCATCTGAGAGCTGGACAATGATGAATGATGGCAGAAGAAGAATTGATGCCTTTGAACTATGGTGTTGGAGAAGAGTGCTGAATATCCCATGGACAGCCAAAAGGACATGTCTTGGAGAGGGTACAGCCAGAGCTCCTTGGAGGCAAAGATGATGAAGCTTCATCTCTCATACTTTGGGCATGTTGCTAGGAGAGGTTATTCCTTGGAGAGGGACATCATACTTGGAAAGGTAGAGGAACAGCACAGGAGAGGAAGACCTCAGATGAGACGGATTGACATAGTAACTGGGGTAATGGGGTTAGGAGAGCTAGAGACAGTGAGATTGGCTCTGGATAGGACAGGATTCAGAGCTATTGTATATAGGGTTGCTATGAGTTGTAAGCAACTCAATGGCACATAACAACATAGATCACCAGTCCTTTCTCCCTACAATGTCTTAGTTTAGAAGCTCCCCTGAAACCTGTATGCCATGGGCAACCCTGCTGGTATTTGAAATACTGGTGTCTTAGCTTCTAACATCATATGAAAACATGTGGGACCACAATGGGACAATTTGACAGATGAGTGGAAGAGGCACTGCACTGGGCATTGGGGAGAACTGGATAAGCTTCCTCAGGGAGTTTCCTAATGAGTGAGAGGAGAGAGGCCATGAAACAGCAGTGACAATGCAGCACACTAAGGGCTCGCATTGGGCATAAAAGCTGTTGGAGGAGCGCAAGGTCATAGAATGTCTTCCCATCAGATGTGGCATCTGAGACCTAGATTCCATTTCCCTACTGCCTTCTTCTTTAACTTATTCAGAAGTCATAAAGAACAAAGCACATATTTGAGGCAGCAGAAAAGCTAAGCCCAATATGAGCAACTGAAAAAGAAATCACTTTTGCACATATTTACAAGTCATTCAAACAGTCTGATCCCATGGCCTGTTTTCAGTCTAGTCAGCGAGGCTTGTGTTCTCAGTACTTCTTGTACCTGCATGAAACTGGGAGAGTGCTAGGCATGATTGCCCTGACCTCCAGAGCAAGTGCTTGGGTTAGGTCTGGAGAACGCTTGCCAATTCCAGATGGACTTTTCCTGAGATGTTGCTACCCCCACGCTGGTGAACAGCTGATCTGTGGCAGTCACAGGAGGTAGGCCCATAAGGAAGGCGTTTAATGCCCAGCAGAAGCATCGTCAGAGTTCCGTAACAGAAGATCTTGGAGAAGAACTTGTTTATCAAGGTAACGGTTGAGACCCAGAGAGGGGAACGTGAGGCAGAGCTGGGTGCTCACACTTCATATACCGGTTGTCAGGAGACCTCCTGGTTCCCTATACTGCCCCACTTCTCCCACAGTTCCATGATCAGGTACGGATGGGTCTCCCTCAGGGCTTGGTAGAATCGATTTTTGCGGGCCCAGTCCCAGGACCGGCTGAAGCTAAACAGCTTCCGCATCTGGGCTGGCTTGGTGGCCTCCGCGCGTACACTCTCACACTGCTCCTCACTTAGCACGTGTCGATGCATCTTGTCCAGGACAGGATCCACCAAGGTCACGCGGGCCACCAGCTGCTCCCGATACCAGTCCACAAAGTGCAAGCGGTCTTGGACTTCTGGGAGTGGAGGTGAGGCTGGCAACAAAGAAATAAGGGCGTTCCACCATTGTGCCTACCTTTAGCCCCCTGCCTCTAGCTTCCTTCACTTAACTAATTTGCATCCATGACCTCTTAAATTCCCTCTTTTTAAAGAAAAATTTATTATTAATTTCAGTGAAAATTTACAGAGACTTTGGATTTCCATTCATTCATTGTTGCCCCTTTCTCCCCTCCCAACCCCCCCCCCCCAATACACTACCCTCTTGTAAAAGTAAAACAAAAATTCTTTCATTGTTTTACAAACCCTCCCCCAGGTCCACTCCACCCTGTAGTCTTTGCTCTAGACTCCTGTCATAACAAAAATACCTACATATCCCTTTTAAGCAGTTTTCTCCCTCATCTGTTTCAATGCAGTATACATTATTGAACCCATCTTTCTCAGCCTCCCTCCAATCCTGAGGTCATTCCTGGTTTACAACAGTGGCACCATGCAGTATTTGTCCTTTTGTGACTGAGATATTTCATTCAGCATAATGTCCTCCAGGGTCACCCATTTTGAATAATATTGCATGAGTTCCTTGTTTTTCAGTGCAGTGTAGTATTCCATTGTGTGAATATACCACAGCTTCTCTATCTATTCGTTTGTTGATGGGCACTTTGGTTATTTCCAACTCCTTGCTATTGTGAACAAAGCCACGATAAACATGGGTGTGCATATATCTGCTTGGGTGTCAGTTATGGTCTCTTTGGGGTATATTCCCAGTAGTGGAACTGCTGGGTCTTAAATTCCCTTTAAGACAATTTGATCACCTGAAATGCACCCATACCCTCTCTTACATCAGTATCCAGAATAGAACTCTTCCTGAGAGAGGGCAGTTGGGTGAGGTGGACTGAGGGATGGGAATTGGGGTGGGGGAGTGTGGTGGTTCTGATAAGGATATTTGAGAATATCAAGAGGGAGATGTTAGAACCCCTATGGGGATGGAGAGAATATAGAAATATGGAGAAGCACTCTGGATACACATTCAGATTCTTTATGAAATTTGTAATAACAGAGTCCTTCCCTTTCTCTCATTGCTTCCTTCTAGAACCAGATACATCAGAACTGCCACTTACTCCGTGGATTCCAACACCGATACTAACCTGTTAAGTCAGGAGGTTCAAGGGTAGCTGTAGATCGTAGATCTCCTGGAAGAAAAGAGAAATACAGAGCAACTGTCACAACACTAGTTACTAACACAATATAGGTTGGTGCTCCGTCAGCACTCCTGAGATGCTCTGATTCTGTGAACAAGCAAAAAACACTAATCAAATCTGTGAAATTGGAAGAGCCCTTAGAGATTATATAGGTGACTATTTTCCTTATTCATCTAGGGAAGCCAAGGCTCAGAGAAATGATTGGAGGGAGAGAGGGTGAGGGAGAGGGAGAGGGGGAAGAGGAAGAGAGGTGAGAGGGAGAGAGGGAGAGAGGGAGAGAGAGAGAGAAACATTTGAATGAGCAGCAGACGTTTCTGCTACCAACACAAGACTTTTGTCTACTTTTGGCGTGACTAGAGTTCATGATGGAAAACCAGCCAAGTTCTCCCAGCTAGATGCCTGAGACGATTAGAGATCTGATTCTATGCAGAAACTCAGTCTTCCTGTATTGTTTGGCCTTTTAGACAAACAGGTCAAATCTGTTTGTTCTGAAATGGGATGGTAAAAGAATCAAAAGAAAACATCTCAGCACATGTCAGTAATTGGTAAATTTTAATAGGAACAAGATTCAAAAAGAACAAAAACGGAATGGGCTTAAATGGTTACTTGTGTTAGGATAACAAGGGGACATTCTCAGCAGCTCATGTGAAAAAGGCATGGGCGTATGAGTAGACCTCCAGTCACCATGAGCTCAGAGTATGACAAGCCAGGCATAAGAAGAACGGAGCTCAAGCTATGTTACTATCTGGATGGAAGGAGGAGGATGTCCGACATCCTCCTTACTCTCACGAGAGACAATATTTGGAGCATCTACTGAGGAAGATGGCTGAGATGGCACAAGACTTATAATCATAATACAAAAGGAAATGGCAGAAAGACATACAGATGTTGAATTTGCCTAAGAAGTGACTTAAAGGGGGCCATGACTTTAACCTTCAGGTATCTAAGGGCTTTCTGATGGGCTTCTTCTGTGAGCTCCAAGATTCAGAGTTAAGACTTACAGAAGGGAAATATTGACTTAACATGAGGACAAAGAACAGTACTGCTTCTCTTTATTAGGGGCCATCACATGAGGCATGTATAAATGATACTGTATTGAGTCTTTGCAACAGTGCTTCAAGGTAGGGTTTTATAGGCCTATTAGACTCAAATAAGACATTTCCCCAAGATCACACAAGTAACTGCCAGAGCAGAATTCAAACCAAAGTATGATACTGGAGTTGGTTTGCTCTCCATCTATGACTACACCCAAATCCAGACTGAGTAAATATCATTCTCCTTCTACCACAACGGGAAGTCTGTTTGTAGTAGCTCAGGGCTAGTCTTACTATAGCTCAACAGCTGGAACTGGCTGGCTGCCCCTGGAAGGGATATTTGGGGAGATTCTGGTTCTTAGAGGGGGGGAAGTATGCTGAATAAAGAGGTCAAGCGGATTCCCCCATTCCTATTTCACTCCCCATTGTCTCCCTATGAATGATGCTAGAGGGCATGTCTCTGGTGCTGCCAAAGTTCGCTTTATCCAAAAAACCACAAGACCATCTACTTACTCTTTCATCTCACATCCAAGCTATTATGTGAAGCTTTAGCAAAGGCCTTGTAGGTATTAAAATCTATTAAATCAAGAAAGTGTGGAGACAAATGGTACATGGGAAAGAGCATAGATCTTAGCATCATATTGACAAGAGTTTAAATTCTGTTCATACTGCTTGTAACCTAACTTGAAAAATCAACTTAAAAATGTTCCCCTGCCCCCTTTATAGGCTTTCTTGCTTTATTATCTTTCTTTATTACCCTTGGATTTTCAAATTTACCCTAACTTTACCTTGTTTCACCAAAGCCTTCCACACCACAATCCCATCTTTCTTGTCCTTCATTTCCAGCCTGATCCCTGATCCCAGGTGGTCAACATAGAATTCAGAGAAGAGCTGGGATTGTCCAGGATTCCGATAGCAGAGCTCCAGTTCCTGTGAAGCAGAGCAAGTTATCGTATCAGAAGCCACCATTTATCCTATAGGCGAGGCCTTTCCTACCCATTACCTTTTTTCCTCACCTCAATTCCATAGGGGTGATCCAACTAAGTCTTGCACTGAAATAAATCAGGCCTTCAGAAACTATTTGTTTCCTTAAAAGTCTGACACAGAACAATATTCATCCTCAAAATTTCTACTCTTTACATCTTTAAACCAAGACCATCTCCTGTTTTCCCCATCTTGAGCCAAACCCTTCATTCCTATCCCAAAGCCTGACTTTTCAATGGATCCTAAACTTTACTCACTTTCAATCACTAGAAAATTTTATCTGTCTTCTTTCTTTCTTTCCTTTCATTTTTTTATTCTTACTTTTAATGAAAATTTACAGAGACTTTGGATTTCCATTCATTCATTGTTGCGCTTTTCTCCCTGCCAGTTCACTCGTCTCTTTGAAAAGTAAAAGAAAAATTCTTTCATTGTTTTACAATCCCTCCCCGCTGTCTTCTTTCTTAAATCACATCCAAGACACAACTCCTGGTTCCATGCTCTCTTCCAAACATTTTCTTCTTCCATTTTCTCCATTCTTTTTTTTTTTTTTATTAAATTTTATTAGTTTCAATGAACATTCACAGGGATTCTGGGCTTTCACTCCTTCATTGCCGCACCATTCTCTCCACCCTCCATTCTTAATATATGTCGCTTCCATTCACTGAGTACTCATATCCCTGATGTAGACATCAGCCTCGGATCCGTCCCTTCTTTCTCCATATATAGCCAAGTCACCACATCTTGCTGGCTCTACCTCTAAAATATACCCTAACGCCATCAGCTATTTTCTGTCTCCACTGCACCACCCTAGCTAAGCCATCATCAACTCTTACCATAGCTTTTCAACTTACCTCTCTGCTTCTATTCTTTTTTTTTGTGCAATAAGACAATATATTGTGATAGTATGCAACCCATGACCACCCAGGTTTACAACCAAAGAAGCATAAGCCCCCATGTTGAGTACAGGTGCGAAATTCTACTCCTTTATTTCCAACTATACCACTCTCTGAAGGCAATGGGATCATCAGGAGGATGAAAGCGAATCCAGTGACGTCATTTCTGAGGAAGGCACAGAGTGTGGAACTTCTGGGGATGGCTGTCAGGAAGGTTCCTTTATAGAGCTGTACTGGGATGGGTGGAGCTCCACAGTGGCCTCACTCTACTTGCAAGGACAGACAGAGGAGGTAAGAAGGCTTTGCTTCTATTCTTGACCTCTAATCATTCATTCATTCATTCTCTACCCAGCAAGCCAGAGGCTTCTTTTTTAAACCAAGTCTTGCTATAACCCTTTTCAAATCCTGGGATGGCTTGCTATTACACTTAGAACAAAATCCATAACTCCCTATTAGCGTCAATCAACAAGGCTTGGGAGACTTTTACCTCTTACCTCTTACTAAGCAAGCCCCACTACATTGGCCTCCTTTCAGTCACCTGAAGGGCTTGCATTTGCTCTGTATCTCTGACATGTCCTTCCTAAAAATGCTCTCCTATAGATCTCCAGGTGCCTGAAGTCTTCTTTATACTTAGGGCTTAACTCTAATAGCACCTCCTTAAGGAGGTGTCTAAAGTTGGCCAAGTCATTCTCTTGCATGACCTTGTGTCTTCTGTTGTTTATTATTTTAAATGGTTTTAAAAATTATTTACTGGAAGTCTCATTGTACCAGGATGTAATCTTCATATCTTTAGATCAGTCTTTCCTGTTTCTGGAAATTTCTACAGTGATGAGGACAACACATACTTGACCCTTGATAAATGTTTGTTGAGTGAGTGAATCCTGATTCTTATTCCTTATTAACAAATGATGTAGCAGTAAAACTCATTGATCCTTGGAGTCATGTTTTCGAATTCAAGATATATGCATTACTTTCTCCTAATTAAGGTAACAACAGTTGTCATCAAGGCAACACACTGGCTATGACTTTTAAGACGTAAATTGGCAGGCCTTTCTTCCAAAGAGCTTCTAGGTAGATTCAAACCAGCATTCTTTCAGTTAGTAGTTGAGTGCTTAATCATTTGCACCACACAGGGATGTCATTCTTCCTCACTGTTTTTGTTGTTGTTAAGTGCCTTCCAAGTCAACTACAATTTGTAGCAACTCTAACAATGGATCTTATGGATCCATTGAACCCTGGACCCTTTGAACCTTGTCCTACCCTGTGCTATCATCAACATAATTCCTGATATACTTGAGCTCATTAAGAATCAATTCTTCTTCTTTTTGATGACCACTCCACCATCATGTTTAAGCATAATGTCTTTTTACAAGGATGGGCCTCTCCCAACAACAAACCCAAAGTACATTAGATGAAGTTTCATTCTTCTTGCTGGAAAGGAATACTCTGGTTGCACCTTTTCCAATATATATTTGTCTGTGTGGCAGTCCATGGGATATTCTTCTCCAAGGATTCAATGGGATATTCTTCTCCAACACCACAGCTCAAAAGCATCAATTCTTCTTCTGTCATTCTTATTTCTATTAGGAGAGCTCTGGTGGCCAAGTGGGAAGAAGTTGCACCGCCAACCAAACAAGCGTTCACATCCATCAGCTGCTCTGTGGGAGAAGGATGGGCAATCTCCTGTGCAATTTTCAGCTTCTGAAACTTGCTGGAGGGGCAGCTATGAGTCAGCTCTGATATAATGACACATAACAACAGCTTCCTAACTAGTAAATATTTATTCCATCTGGGGAACTTAGACTGAGGGTTCCTCAGAATTCTAAGTCAGAGGTGGGCAGCTTCCGCTAAGAACAAGATTGATTTTTCTAATCTTTCAATACCATTTCTTCTACAATAATCTTTGCTTATTATTTTACTTTGCTACCTTTTAAAAGACACATCTAGTCTCTCTTGTCTCAATCCTGTTATATCTGACTTTTCCATGGTCTCCCTACAGTACTTAGGCAGGGAATAAAATTTTCTCATCAATTTCCCCTAGAACGTAGTCAATGTTCTGAACTTGGTTAATTTGATTAAGTTGCTGGCTTTAGATACCCCCTTCCTGATCCTTTCTATAAAAGTTTAATAGCTATCCTAAGGGGAATCTGCACTATAGCAAATACTTCTGATGCACTTCTACCAATATTATAGGGCAGGCAGAACAGGTATGACTAGGGAGAAAGCAAACAAGCTATCTGACTTTCTAAAACAGACCTGGTTGTATTATGGGACACAATTTAAATCTCAGACTTTGAGATCTGCTGCAAAAACCCTGAATTACTTTTGTTTTGTTTTGAGTGAGTAAATGAAAACCAATTTATTTTGTAAATGTTAACACAAAATAAAAAGAAACTTACTGTTTTTTTGAAACCCAAATCCTTGTAGACATATTTTGTGCATACATGGTCATGTTATGTGCATATGTATTTGTTTTAAACATAAATGTGATGTGGTACATAATGCCATTGAAACTTATTCACACAAAAGTATAATTTGGACCATTTTTGTCAATAAAGATCTAATTCTTATGCACCGACTGCCGTCCAGTCAGTGCCAACTCATAGCAACCTTTCCCTGAGCTATGTTATAATTAACTGATGTATTCTGCCTTGATGCTGTTGTGTGCCATCAGAACCAACCTAGGTGACCCTCCCGCAGGTTTTCAGTGATAGCAAATTTCACAGAAGGAGATTGCCCATCCTCTTCCCACAGAGCGTCTGGTGGATTCGAACTGTGTGCCTTTGGGATTTCTTTTTTTTTTTTTTTTTTCGCTGCAGCTGAAAGCTTCTTTATTGTGGTAAAATGGCGGCGGCGGCCTGCCTTTGGGATTTCAGTGCAGTTTCTTACCACTGGTCCACCAGACCTCCAAAAGTCTTAAATAATATTATAGCATAGTCATAGTTGCAACAAATTGTTTAACAACTCATCCTACAACAGAGGGGAAGAGATGAACTCTAATTCACCTTAGAATACATTTGGTAGACAAACCACTGATTCTAATGAGCAAAAGCTCAGTAATGGTGAAGATCTAAGTATTATTATCAATTGATGTCCACTGCCCCAGCTTCATCTGTTTAGACCAAAAGTGGTGTTGATGGTGGGGAGAGTGAGAGCTGAAACAAACAAATAAACAAAAAAACCTAACAGAAAACAGCTCCTAATATCCAGGAACGGATTTGATGCTTGTAGTTAGACTTCAATGTTGTTACAAACTGATCTGATGCTTACTGCTGAGACATGTTATTTATTCTCCTGTTCAGCATCAACAATGCCATAGAACATGCATTTTCTTTTTTTTTCTTTTTTTCCCCCTATATTTTATTAATTTTCATAAACATTTACAGAGATTTGGGGTTTCCATTCATTCATTGTTGCACTATTCTCTCTACCCTCCTCCCAGTTTGTTCTTGTCCAAATGCCACAGTGCTTGTCAAAGCCAGTTCTGATTAATCTTCTTTGTCAGTGTGTCCTTTGCCATTCCCTATCACTCCTCCCTGAGAGAGACTTCACCCTGAGTCATAAGGAAAAGGGGATGGTGTATTCTCTTATCTACTTCCTGCTGAAAAGGGACGCTGTGGGTTTCAGGGTGAAGATCTTCTCTCACTACTCTAAAGGGCCCCTTTGGTAGTAGGAAACACATAGACTATTATAGAACATGCATTTTAGATAAGGTTACTGGGCAACTCACAAAATACCAAACACCAAGTTCTTCTCGGTAAATTAATGACTACTCTGCCTTCAGCAATTACAGCTTTGTCCTTGCTCTGATGTCTGGTGGCATAATCTGTAGGGAGTTTTGCTGCGAGACCAAAGGTAGTGTCTCTCTGGCAGTTTGAATCCACGGGTGGCTTTTCAGGAGAAAGATGAGCAATTTCCTTCCATGTGATTTACAGACTCCCTTAAAACCACTGGAAGGTCAGCTGTGAGTTGGTTCCAGCTCCACAACAAGGAGTTTTGTTGAGTTGATCCTTGCTGTACTTTGCCTTCAGTTTATTGAGATTTATTAAGATTCTTATTCATACAATTGCTCTTGCTTTTTAACACTGATCCAGAGCAATTTTCTGTCTCCTTAAGTCTTCCCAACCAAGGCCCAAGTCCTATAATTGCTTCTTTCTAACAGTCTCTTACTGAATCACACCATGGTTCCCCATGGTATGTGTTCAACTTCACCACAGTGAATCACAGGCCCAACTTGTTCACCTGTAAGTGTATTCCTGGGAGTCATTAACCAGGAGGAATTGACACCTTATAATGCTCACACTCCCGTTATACAAAGATGTATTCAAACCATGACCTTTACTATTTATGAATGTGACCTTATTTGGAAATAGAGTAATTGAAGATAGAATTCATAAACATGAAGTCATATTGAAGTAGTTCACTTACTCATTCACTGCTGTAGATTTGGAATTGTCTTATAATTGATCCTCCTGCAGGTTTTTGGAGGCATGAGAGGAGATTGCTAATCTTTCTCCTAACCATCAGCTGGTAGAGTTGAACCACCAGAGAGGTTTAGTAGCAAACTATTGCCTGTGTTACCAGAGCTCCCTATATTGATGTAAGAAGAGCCTTAGTCCAATATGATTAGTGTTTTATTAAAAAAAAGAAGAAGAGACTAGTTTGATGGTAGTGGGCTATCAGAAGCTATTAACATTAGTGTCACTGAAGTGGGTATATAGTGTCTCCATTGCTGAATTTGACTGGCTTAAAAAAGAGAGAGAGAGAATGATATAAAGACTCTTGGGAAGGATGGTAATGTGAAGACAGGTAGAAACTAGAGTTATCCTGATACAAGCCAAGGGATGAAGAATTTCTGGCCATCATCAGAAGCTGGGAGAGAGGCATGGAGTCTACAGAAAGAATTAGGATTACTGATACCCTGATTTCAGTTTTCCAGCCTCCATAATTTTTCCGGAACAAATTTCTGTGTATTTTTTTTAAATTTCTTTATTGTTGTTGTTGTTATGTGCTGTCGGGTTGCTTGCGACTCATTGCAACCTATGTACAACAGCCCTAAACTCTGCTCTGTCCTGTGCCAATTGCACTGTCTCTGACACACCCATTCTGCTTATCCCCGTCACTGAATCAATCCACCTCATAGGGGGCCTTCCCCTCCTGCACTGTACTTCCACACTCCCAAGTATGATGTCCCTTTCCAGGGACCAGTCTCTCCTCACAACATGTCCAAACTATGTTAGACCGAGCCTCAGAATCCTTGCCTCCAAGGAGCCGCCCAGTTTAATGCATTCCAGGATGAATCTGTTTGTTTTCCTAGCAGTCCATGGTACTCTCAATACTATATGCTCCAGCACTACAGCTCAAAGGCATCAATTCTCCTACTATCCTCCTTAGTCATTGTCCAACTCTCCGATGCATAATAAGTGATAGCAAAGACCATGGCCTAATCTTTGAAATACTTCCACTTTTCTAAATCTTATTTTGTTCTGCTCAACCCAATTCATTCCATCTATGGGAAAGCTCTGATTCCTGCTCTGCTTGGCATTTCCAGAAGGATTCCAACCCCAGAGAAGGAATGAACATCTAGGCCACTCACCTCCGGGATCATTTCCAGGTTATTTGAGCCAGACACGACATAGCGAGAGCCTATATAAAGTGGAGTCAGAGGGGGTGGCTTGTTTAGTCGCACAAACTCGAACTTCTTTTCTTCATCATCGATGGCCTAAAGAACATACAGATCAGTGGCTAACGGGTAGGGAAGAGGGGTGTCTGACTCAGAGAGTCATCACTATGGAGTCTGCTCTAAATGTTAAGAGATGCTTTGGTGTGTTTGTCAGGGAGAAGAGCCTATAGCACCTTGGCATCCATCATGACCCCCATGCACTTCTGTACAGACATTTCCATAATTGGCCTCTTCCATATTCAGGGTGGGAATTTGGACTTTGCTAGAGAAGATTACAGATTGAGGAAAAGCTAGAGATATGAGCATGAAGCCCTCTCATCCTTTGGCTCCTAGAAAAGAGGCTGCAGAAGATAATCCAGAAGTAATGATGGAGCTCCAAGTAGAGCCAGGGAGACCTGATGCAGGGAACTTAAGTGGTGTGGAAATGAAGACCAGTCCATGGCTGAGCAAGGGACAGGATCATTGGTTTTTGTTAAGGCTTCGACTTATGAGTCCAATCCCTCTTTCCAATTTGAGGACCTGTCTAGAGAGGGCTCTCTGGCTTCATTGCATGCTTTCTATCAGCCTACTGTGCCCCGACCCTTCTGGTCTTCAGAGTCACCTTCTGAATGGAGCAGTCACTGGGGATAAGGTAGAGGTGGAAGGTGACTTCCTCAGGAAGGAGATGATGGTAGAGCAACACCGTGGAGGTGATGGGGATGAAGCGCAGGGCCGCGTGGACCATTCTCAGTAGGACTCCCATGGGGGAGAAGCTGGGGTTTTCCAGGACTGTGGAAGATGGCTCTACTCTGGCTGGCATCTCCAGGAGCATCCCCTCCTCTTTAAAGTGGGCCACTCGGAACATGGAGGTGTCCACATGACCCCCTGTCAAAGGACAGATAAAGCAACATAGATTTAGTGCTCTCACGGAGTCAGGCTCTGGCTGTGTGGTCGGCTCCCAGGGCTTAGGCACAGTAGACTTCCTGGGGGAACTCACCATGAAGAAGGACATACCTGACTGAGGCCTTTGCAGGCTATGGGAAATACTTGTTACTAGGACAGTGGCACCACAGGGACCTTCTTGAACCAAGCTCAAACACAGATCAGCACCATATATTGAACATAAGGCTCATTACCTGTGTTTTTGTGGGCTCTTAACTATAAGGGCCATTGAGTGATAAGGAGCAGATCTGATTTCAAGGAGGTAGAGAGCAAGAAGGAGGAGGGGATAGTGGGGAAATGGAGGGACGAGCAGCTGTGTTTATCTGTTATGTGTTTGACCACCCACCATTCAAATACCTTTTGGAAAGACACCTCAATTCCTTATGCTACCATACTGTGGGTTTTGGCAGGAGGCAAGATGAACATCTCATGGAAGCAGTTGCTACTACTTGACAGCTATGACACAGTGGTGTGACCAAGATTTTGTTGCTTCTAATTAAGATCCTGAGTCTAGAGAAGGTGAAGTAAGGTGAAAAGATAGAGGTCAACTTGGCAGTGAGGGAGGATCTTGCTATGGCTGTGTTTTCAGCAGAGGGATGTCCAGATACCTTTTGGTGTAACATTGGCTATGTCTTTGGTTTCTCAGCATCTCTTAGCCACTCTTTTTAAGAGCCTTCTGCCTAAACTTTTCTTGTCTATGCACTTGTTGTTATGTGCTGTTGAGTCGCCTGCAACGCATAGTGACCTACACAGGACCAAACAGCCCTAAACCCTGCTCTATCCTGTGCCAATCTTATTGTCTCTTACACACCTACCCTCATTACCCCAGGCACTGAATCAATTGCTCTCATTGAGGGTCTTCCTCTCTTGTGCCAATCCCTCCACTCTCCCAAGCATGACGTCCCTCTCCAAGGACTGGTCCCTCCTTGCAATATGTCCAGTGCGTGTCAGATGATACTTCCAAATCCTTACCTTTAAGGAGCAGCCTGTTTTAACATTCTCCAGGATGAACCTTTCATTCTCTTAGCCATCCATAGTATATTCAATACTCTTCTCCAACATCACCACTCAAAGACATCAATTCTCCTTCTATCATCACTAGTCATTGTTTAGCTTTCTGATGCATAGCAAGTGATTGCAAAGACCATGGCCTGTATCAGGTGCACCTTAGTTTTCAGGCTGACATCATTGCTCTTCAGTAATTTGAAGAGGTCTCTGACAGCAGACTTTCTCAAAGCAGATTGTCTCTTAATTTCCTGGCTGCTGGTACCAAGAGTGTTGATTGTGGAGCCAAGCCAAACTAAAACTGTTTATAATCTCAATCTCTTCACCATCCATCATGATGCTGCCAGTTGGTCCAATGGAGAAAATCTTTGTTTTCTTGATATTGAGCTTCAATCCATATTGAAGACTGCAGTCCTTGATCTACTGCAACAAGTGCTTCTGGTCCTCCTCAGTTTCAGCAAGCAGGGTTGTGTCATCTGTGTAACATAGTCTGTTGATGAGTCTTCCTCCAATCTTGATGTTACATTCTTCCTCACAGAGCCCAGCGTCCTGTACGATCTACTCTGCATACAGATTGAAGAGGTATGGTGACAGGACACATCCCTGGTATATATCCTTCTCAATTTTGAACCATGCAGTGTTTCCTTGCTCTGTTCTGACGACTGCCTCCTGGTCCTAGTATAGGTTTCACATAAGCACGATCAAATGTTTTGGGGTTCACACTTCTCAGAGTTACTACATCTGTTTATTTTTTGGCTAGGTTAATCAAAAAAGGGCTTCTTCAAAGAAGAACTCTGTCAGAACACATCTAAGTACTCTGACCAGCACTGGAGGTGAGAGAAACACTGGACTAGAGGCCAGGAGTCTTGGCCCTATCCCTGTATTGCTGAGCAATTGTGAAAACAGATAGGTTTTGGGTGACTGGAGCATCCAGCAAGCTGAACAGGCTCTTTAGCTGGGAGAACAACAGTAAAACAACACAGTGTGATTGTAATTTCAAAAGTGTCCATGGTGAGGATTACTTCAGTTTATTAATTTTTTTTGTCATATAAAAATAATATGCCACAACCTAAATAGAATAAGGAAGAATTCACTTATAAACCCTCAATCAAATAATACAGCTATTACCCACTTCTACTTTCCTATTACATACAGTCTTTCTCTGCAAGAATGTATTTTCACATTTCCATTGAGGTATATGTAGCTTGGTCTCCTGTTTCCCCCCTAACTGGTTTAAATTGTCATGAACATCTGTCAGAACTTTCTAGTGACCAAGTGTGATTCTGGCTGGTGGATGTTTCACCCTGTGATTTTCCTCTTTTTGCAGCAGTGAAGCTGTTTTTGACTTCTCACCATGATAAATAGCAAGCATTACAATGCACTAATTTTCTGCACAGAGTTTTCCTATTTCCCTTGGGTTACTGCTTCAGAATCAGCAAGTACCAAAGGATGAGGAAAAGTATATAGTGTACAAACGGCCGGGGACATTTTCATGACTTGCTGTGCTTTGTCAAGTCACTTTTCAAAGGGATGGTGCGAGTTTGCTCTGTTATTTGTGACATTAAGTCGGCATGTCTCCTCTCTTCCTCCCCATACTGGAACTTCGTTATTTTCCAGATACAGGGACTGAAACCGTGAAGGGAAAGTGATTTTCTCAAAGTCATCCACCCAGCAACAGCACTAGGACTGGAACGCTGCACCACAGTCCCTGGTGCTTAGAGATGCTCTTGTCCCAAATGATTTTGCCCGAGTTTGAGAAGGGTCTGTACATCTCGAACTTACATTCTTTACTAATGTGACTAACCATCTCACTTTGCAGAGACTGTTTCTTAGATGCTGGCTTGCAGAGCTGATACCAGGAAAATACTGGGAGAATCACTTTCTCCAGTCCTAATGCGTGACTGTATATTTGTGCTGACAGATAGGAGTGAGAAGAGAAAACCAGAGAAGCTCTTCTTTTAAAGGGGAAGAAACTTGAATGGTAAGTGGAGCACATATCATTGATTGAAGAGACAAGTGAGTCATCTTATTAGAAGTATTCAAAACTTCTCCCATCATGAGGGAGGAGTATTTCTGCAGCAGATTCTGAGAACCAGGACTCTAGAGTTTTTTAAAATAAAAGTTTATGGGGGGAAAACGTTTCTAGAGAATTTACAGTGTGCCAAGCCCTATGAATATGCAGTTGATTCTAGTTACTTGTGGTAGTTAGGATTGGATCTAAAAAGGAGTGTAGGTGGTTTAGTGGTAAGGAGTTGCGCTGACACCTCACAGGCACGTATTTGAATCCACCAGCTGCTCGTGGAAGAAAGATGGCAAATCTCCTCCTATGGGATTTACTGCCTCAGAAAACCTGCTGCAGGGTCAGCTCTGACTTGATGGTACTTAACAACAACAATGACCTTTACATCTTAAAAAGCAAACCCACTGTATTTGAGTCACTCTGATTCATGGTATACCAGAGCAGAATTGATTATACTCCAAAGATTTTCAGTGGCTTATTTTTCAAAAGTAGATTGCCAGGCCTTTCCCTCAAGTCACTTTTTTGGTTGGTAGCCAAGCGTGTCACCTGTTTGGTCATCTAGGACTGGGCGGTGTACAAGGTCCCTGAAAACCTGAATCAGTGAATGCTGGTGGTGCAATCTGTAGGGAGTTGAGCTGCAAATCCAAAGGGGGCATCTCTTGGGGGGTTCAAATCCCCCAGCAGGGCTGTGGGAGAAAGAGAAGGAATCTCCTCCCTTGTGATTGACAGCCTCATGAAAACCTCCTGGAAGCTCAGTTCTGCCTCAGCAGCAATGAAACCCCATTCATCACCGGTTGAACATGTTTTGCCTCTCTGTACATCCTTGAACCCTACAATGGCTACTCTATAGTTTTTAGCAAATAACTACATTGGTTCATTCTGAATCAGTGAATGATGACGGCAGGGAGGAAATTAGCACTTTAATTGACAAGCTCATCAGGGAAGACAGACAGGAATGTGTGTGTGTGATTAAAAAAGGGAGAGCAGTTAGCGGTGGTGGGGGCAAGAAAAAAAAAAGGAGAGTAAGCTTCATATGGCATCTGAGAGCAGGACAATGAATAAGGATGACAGAAAAAGAATTGACATGCTTAAGCTGTGTTGTTGGAGAAGAGTATTCAACATCCCGTGGATGACCAAGAGAACAAACAGATAGGTCTTAGAGAGGGTGCAGTCGGAGTGCTCGTTGGAGGCAAGGATGATGAGGTGTCACCTCACATACTTTAGAGATGTTGCTAGGAGGGCCTATTTCTTGGAGAGGGACAAGATGCTGGGAAGGGTAGAGGGTCAGAGAAGGAAAGAAAGACCCTCTACCAGGTGGATTGACACGGTGACTGCTACAATGGGCTCTTGTGTGTCAGGAAGTGTGATGATGGTGCAGGATAGAGCAGGGTTCAGATTTTTGTTCATAGGGTCGCTATGGGTTGTGATTGACTCAACAGCACCGAACAATAAGAAGCTTCATATGTATGTGGACTATGCAGTTGTACAGGACCATCCTGTACTTGATGTCTATTGCTCTTTTGTCACTGTCTTAGGTCCCTGGGTGGCACAAACAGTTTATATTCATCTTATAACCTAATCCTTTGGGAGCTCTGGTGGCCTAGTGGCAAGAAGCCACACTGTAATCCTGAAGGCACGCAGTTCAAGTCCACCAGTTGCTCCATGGGAGAAGGGTGGAAATCTCCTGTGCGATTAGCTGTTTCTGAAAACCCACTGGAGGGTCAGCTATGGGTTGGTTCTGACTTGATGGTACACAACTACAACAACACGAGAACATCAACAATAACAACAATAATAACAATAACTTAAAAGGCTGGCAGAATAATGCTACTCAATGGTACTACAAGACAAAATGCAAGCATGTGCTTTCACAAAGATTATGGCTCAGAAAATCCTATGGAGCAGTCCTACTCCATGACACATGGGATCCCTCAGAATCAGAATGATTCGATGACAAAAGATTTGAATTTTGGTTTGGCTGTCATTTTGAAATTCCTGATACTTTTTAAACAAGAGCATCTACATTTTCATTTTGCACTGGACCCCACCACTGATGTACCCAGTCCTGCAGGAGGGTGTGAATACCCAAAGCGGAGGAGTCTGTTAGGTACAGGAGGGAACCTGAGATGCTGTAAGCATAGGTTCTATCTAGTGGAAAAACTCACTCTGTAATAACTCAATGTAGGAGATCACAGTCCCCTGGTCCTAAATTAGACCGGTGTTAGGGAGTGAGGTCATGGTTTCCAGGATGGCAAACATCTGCCGCTCAGAAAGCAGGCAGCTGAGATTCCTGGAAGGGGCCTGGCTAGGCCCCAGGGCCTGGTTTCCTAAGTTGGCCATGGCACTGACAATGAATAGCAGCCTCTGCGCTATTTTTGTTTCTTGCCCTGTGGACAGAATCAAAGGGAAATAAGCCCTGTGCAGACACAGGATGAATTTTCAATGTGATCTGTGGAAGGCTGCAGGATGTATGCTTGGGTGGGCCAGGAATGAGGGTGAGAGTTCGGTAGCTCTCACCTTGGAGTTAGCAGACCCCAGGTTAGAATCCACTGGCCAAGGCCCCTTCTCCCTGACAGACTGCCCAGACCCCCTGGATCAAAGTCTTTATTCACGAAAGAGGCAGGATAGGGGTTGGAGTGTCTATATTCAAACCCTGTAAACTGTCACATAGAGAAAAGTAATGTGTCTTCTCGTGTTTCTTTTTTTTTTTTTTTAAAGATTAAGTAAATTAGTGTGTGTGTGTGTGTGTGTGTGTGTGTGTGTGTGTGTGTACCATCAAATCTGATCTGACTGGTACAGGAGGAGATTTTCCCTCCTTTTCCAGCAGAGGATCTGGTGGAGTCAAACCTTGCACTTCTGGGATTGCAGTGCAGTTTCTTGCCACTAGGCCACCGGATCCCACCATGTCTTCACTTGTTATCTGAGCCATCTGTGCGTCATTCAGCTTTTCGCCATGTTAATGGGCCTCTTCAGCCCTTAGCAGTTAACTTGCACCTCCTTTCTCCTCTGCTTCAGTCTGGAACCTTCTCTAAAGAACACCTACATAACCTTGTCTACTCTCTATTCCTTCCAACAGCCTCCCCCACCCCACCTCCGCCCCAGGCCAGGACAGTGTTGCGTTCCTTTTGGTCCTGTCCTGTGTCTCCCCTACTCTGGCACAGTCCTTTTGGGATATGGCTTGAGTCGTTGGCTGAGCCTTCACAGCTCCACAAATGAGCTTTTCCTATCTTGGAAACTATACAGTTCTTTACTTTTTATTTTCCTTATTTTCGTTTCTTCTTTTCACTAATTTGTGCGTTGTTGTCATTGTTGTTTGGTGCTGTCAAGTCCAGTATGACTCATAGTGACCCTATGAACAAAAAATCTGAACTCTGTTCTATCCTGTGCCATCCTCACACTTCCTGACACACAAGAGCCCACTGCAGCAGTCACTGTGTCAATCTCCCTGGTTAAGGGTCTTATCGTAATAAGGAATAATCTTATTTAAGATTTTTTAAATTTACAATTATTAGAAGAATTCTTTTAAGACTATAAGATTACTCCTTATTATTAAGTCTTATAATAATTACATGGTTTCATGCAGTGATTAATAAATTTATAAAGATTAATTGCACTAATAATTTAATATGCATGCTACTGGCACAGTATTAAAAATTAATATGTTAATAATAAAAACTATATGGCTGTAAGTATAGTCTATGGAATAACAATGGATCTGATATGTAATTTGCTCACTATACAGGGGTGTATTTTTAAAAAAAAAATAATGGCCAGTTTGTCAGAGCATTGTCTTATTAACAGTCTGAAGCTGATTTAAAAAAATCCTATATTACAGCTATATAACAAAATAATATATAGTTACTAAGTATTTAGTTAGATAATAAAATATAATTCCATATTAACAAAATAATTTTGAAATATTTTAAACGGTGGTTAGTGCCATGAAATAGGTGGCAATGCCTTACCTGTATGCATGTTGTAAGACCCAAAGGCCTCTTGCATCCTTGTCAAGGGGCAAACTAACTTCTATCTTTCTGGGACACGTGCTTTCCAGCTGCACTGCAGATGACAGTCTCCAGCACTCACCATTCTCCACAAAACTGCCCTGCATATCTAGTCCTGTGAGTCATTCCCCTGACAGTCTGAGTCACTGTGGGATCTTCCAGCGAACCACCACACCCAAGAGACGTAGAGGAATAGGGTAATTGACCAAAGGAGGCAATGGTGATGTCTGAAATCATGGAGTTATACAGTAGAGCAAATATTTGGGATGCTGTTGACTTCCCGCTTCTTGTAACTGATCTGCTACTAATCTTAGAACGAATTATGAATGTGCTTAGCAATTCTGAAAATTTCTGGAAATTTCTATTCTATCTATTAAAATTCAACATTCTAGGCTTTCTCACACTAATCTCTAATTTAATTTTTCTCTAATTGCTGTCCATTCTTGTCCATATTTGAGCTATCATTTGGAATGATTTCTCTCTTCTTATTTTAAAAACAATACACTTCTTTAAGTATATAAAGCATAATCATTTTATGTTCTGTGTCTGATAATGTCAATGCCCGGAAGTCTTTCTGGGACAGATTATGTTACTTCAAATTTGTGCTGGTTCTTATGTATTGTGCCTCCTTTGTTGTTTGTAAAATTTTTGACTTGAACTTATATTTCATGGAGTTTTACCTGTTCGAAGTTTTAGGAAATGTTTATCTCTGTAGGTTGAGATATCTATAGTACCCTTTATGGTACCCTTTATGATGACATTTCCTATTGAAAAAACACATCCCTCTCCTATGGCAATAGCTCTTAACTAGACTGTTACTTATAATTGCCATTGAGCCAGACCTGACTTATAGATGACCTTCCAGCAGGTTATCAGAGGCCATAGATTGCACAGAAGGAGACTGGCCATCTTTCTCTCGTGGAGCAGCTGGCGGATTTGAAATTGTGCTTTTGAGTTGGCAGTGCAATTCCCTACTCACTTGGCCACTGAGTACCAGCTGGGATGTGTTAACATTTTGTCTTCTTCCTACCTATGTTGTTGTTGTGGTGTACTGTAGAGTCAGAATCGACCCATAGTTGACCCTCCAGTGGGTTTTCAAAGGCGGTTAATCACACGGGAGGAGATTGCTCATCTTTCTCTCGTGGATCAACTGGTGGCATCGAACCATGTGCCTCAGGGATTGCAGTGCAGCTTCTTGCCACTAAGCTACCAGAGCTCCCTATAGAAGTTGTTAATAGCTTCTCACTGTTTCCAGTTGCCTAAATTCCTGGTTGGTTCCCAAAGGATAGTCTATCCAGCCTTACTTTTTTAGACTTTCATGGTTTTGAACTATTGTTTCAAAAATTTCAGTAAATACATCATCTGTTTCCTGCTGAAACCCTCAATGATAACTATTTATGTAAAGAATACGTAATAAATATAATTATTATAATGGAGGAGATTAGTTTCTATTTAAGGAGAATTACAAGATCAGATAAAAATAATTATGAGGTTGGGAGACAAACGCTTCATAAAACCCATGTCCAGAGCATTGTATAAAGAGGGAAATAAATCTCATCTCCATTTCTGTAATCCTTTCTCAGTCTCCCTAAGGAGGCCATAAAACCCCTCCCCAGGACGTCCTCCGGTCCCTTGCAGGCCCATGATTATCAGCGCCTCTCCTCCCTCTCTCACTTGCTTACCTTGGAGGGCCACAAAGTGAGGGAGGTACACAGCGGCCACAGCTCCTGGCTCAGCCTTGATATCAAACAGAGGTCCTGCCACCATCCAGTTGTGCTGGGAGGCAGACTCATTGAGGAACTTGCCCCAGTTGCAGATCTCAATCTCAATGGTCACTTCCCCTTTCACTATAAAGCGGAGACCTGTGTTGGGCCAGTGGTAGGAGCCAGCTGCAGGAAAGTGAACTCTGGGGAGAACAGCAAGAGGCAGGCACTGAATTACTCTACACAGGTTCAGTGAGCTTCTACCAAGGGCTAACCCTGAAGATGGATTAGATTGCGTCCAGGCTCTTCTGCTCTCTGACTGTAAATCCCTGAGTAAGCCATCCCACCTTCCTGGGTCTCAGTTTCCTCATAGGTAAATGGGGATAATAATAGCACTCATTTTCACTGCAATACCAGAGGCACGCAGTTTGAATCCGTCAGATGCTCTGCTGGAGAAGGAAGAACAAACACCTCCTGTACCAGTCAGATCTGATTTGACAGTACACCCACAAGAAATAATAAAATAAAAATTAAAAAAAAAGATATACTCCCTTTAAAAAATAATAGCATTCATTTTATAGGGCTGTGAGTAATATTATTGTTGTTATGTACTATTGAGTCATTTGTGACTTATAGAGACCTTGTGTACAATAGCTCTGAGCCTTGCTTTGTCTTGAGCCAACTTCATTGTCTCTGACATACCTACTCCCTCTCCTTACCCTAGTCATTGAGTCAATCTATCTCATCCATGATCTTCTTCTCTTGCACTGTCTCTTTACCCTACCAAGTATGATGTGCCTCTTCAAGAACTGGTCCCTCCTTGCTACATGCCTAAAGTATGTTAGATGGAGCTTAAAAATCTTTGCCTCCAAGGAGGAGCCTGGTTTCACCCTCTGTAGGATGAACCTGTTTGTTCTCCTAGCAGTCCAGGGTATATTCAATACTCTTCTCCAGCATGACAACCTGAAGGCATCAATTCTCCTTCTAGTATCTTTATTCATTGTCCAGCTTTCTGTTGCATAGCAAGTAACTGTGAAAATCATAGCCTGGATCAGGAGCACCTTAGTCTCCAGACTGACCTTGTTGCTGTTTAGTACTCTGGAGAGGTCCTTGACAGCAAATTTCCCTAATGCAATTGTCTTTTGATTTCCTGGCTGCTGGTGCCAAGAGTGTTGATTGTAGAGCCAAGCAAGTTGAAGCTGTTAACAATCTCAGTCTCTTCATCATCTATCTTGACGTTGTCGGTTGGCCCAGTGGTGAGAATCTTTGTTTTCTTGATGTTGTGCTTCAATCTATATTGAAGGCTGTGGTCCTTGACCTTCTGCAGCAAATGCCACAGGTCTTCCTCAGTTTTGGCAAGCAAGGTATGTTATCTACATAACGCAGGACGTAATGAGTCTTCTTCCAATCCTGAAGCCACATTCCTCCTCATAGAGACCAGCCTCCTGGATGATCTGTCTATTCCACACATAGATTGAAAAGATTTGGAGATAGGATGCAACTCTGATATAAACCTTTCTTGATCTTGAACCATGCAGTGTTTCCTTTCTCTGTTCTGGCAAATGGCCTCCTTGTCCAAGTATTGTTTTCACATAAGCACAATCAAATGTTATGGGATTCCTATTCTTCTTAGAGTCAGCCAGAATTTGTTGTGATCCACACAGTCAAATGCCTTTGCATGGTCAATGAAACACAGACATTCCTCTGGTACTCTCTGCTTTCAGCCAAGATCCTAACGTTGGCTATAATATATTTAGTGCCACAGCCTCTTCTAAACCCAGCCTGCACATCTGGCAGTTCTCTGTTGATGTACTGTTCCAGTCATTTTTGGATAATTTTCAGCAGGATTTTGCTTGCATGTGATATTAATATTGTTTGATAATTTCTGCACTCTATCCAGTCACCTTGTTTTTTTTTTTTGGAATGAGAACAAATATGGATCTCTTCCAGTGAGTTTGCCAGGTGGTTGTCCTACAGTTTTCTTGGTACAAGTTGGTGAGTGTATCCAGGGCAGCATTTGTTTGTTGAAATATGTCAATTGGTATATTGTCAATTACTAGGACCTTGATTTTTGTCAATTCCTTCAGAGCAGCTTGAACTTCCTCATTCATCACCACAGGCTTTTGATCATACATTGTTCATGAAATTCTTCCATGTCAGCCAATTTCTTCTGGTTCAGTGACTCTGTATACTCCTTCCATCTTCCTTTTTTTATTTTTTATTTTTAATTTTGTGTGCGTGTACCATCAAATCAGATCTGACTGGTACAGGAGGATATTGTGCCTCCTTCTCCGGCAGAGCGTCTGGTGGATTCGAACCGTGTTCCTCTGGGATTGCAGTGCAGCTTCTTGCCACTAGGCCACCAGAGCTCCCCTCCATCTTCCTTTTTTAAAATTGAGATTTTAATGAAAGATTATAGAGAACTTGGATTTCCATTAATTCATTATTGCACATTTTCCTCACTGTCCACTCCTCCCCACCCTAGTTCACTTTTCTCTTTGAGAATAAAAAAAAATTCTTTCATTGTTATACAATTCCCACTCTTATCCCCAAGTCCACTTTACTGTGCAGCTCTTATTCTGGACTCTTGCCATGCAAATAACATCTAATCATATACCTCTTTTAAACAATTCTCTCTCTCATCTATTTCAATGCTGTATAGATTATTTATCTCCTCTTTTCTTAGTTTCCCCCTAAACTCTATGTCAGTCCTGTTTTATAACAGGCATTATGTAGTATTTGTCCTTTTGTGATTGAGATATTCTATTAATGCTTCCTATATCATTTCATATTCTGCCCAAATCATCCTAAATGTTGCAACTCGAGGCTGGAAGTTGTTCTTCATTTCCTTCAGCTTAAGAAATGGTGAGCGAGTTCAGTCACTTTGCATATTTCATTAGAGTACTTTGCATTGTCTTCCCACGCTGCCCTTTGAAATCTTCTACTCAGCTCCCAAGAGCTTAACATACCAGGAATGGTAAGCTTTCATTAAGATGACGATGAAATAGGAGACATCTCCCCATTGGAGAGAATGTATTGAGAAACTGTTTGGGTGAATGATAAAAATGTTATATAAAAGATGAATATTATGTTGATAGGCATTTATAGATTTTGAGATTGTACACACTTAGAGGGGAGGGCTGTTGTATTTATCCTAATATTCCCAGTCATTTATACAGTCCTTAATAAATAGCAGACATTAATAAAAGAAAGAATATCTTATAAGGCATTTAGACAATGTTTAGGAGATATAACAAACAAAATATGATGAGTGGAACTTGTTAGACTTTGTTTGGATGTTGACTAGAACAAACCAGCTGCAAGAAAACATTTTAGACAATGGAACAAATTTTAATACAAACTAGATTTTAGATGATATGAAAGACTTGTCAATTGCCTTAGGTGTGGTAATGGCAATATGGCTATAGCTATGAAAGAAAATGTCTACTTTCACATTTTGAAATGCATAATACTATATTTAAGGAGAAAATCATGCAGTGTCTTGGATTTAAAATAACAATACTAGGGATATTATAGCTAATGTTAGATGGGTCATGGCTGAAAACAGACAGTACCAGAGGAATGTGTATCTGTGTTTCATTGACTGTGCAAAGGCGTTTGACTGTGTGGATCACAATAAATTCTGGTTGATTCTGAGAAGAATGGGAAACCCAGAACATTTGATTGTGCTTATGTAAAACCTATACTTGAACCAGGAGGCCATTGTCAGAACAGAGCTAGGAGACACTGCATGGTTCAAAATTGGAAAGGGTGTCTGCCAGAGATATATTCTGTCTCCATACTTTTTCAATCTATGTACAGATCATCTGAGATGCTAGGCTGTATGAGGAGGAATGTAGCATCAGGATTGGAAGAAGAATCATAAAAAACTTGCGTTATACAGATGACACAATCCTTTTTGCTGAAACTGAGGAGGACCTGAAGTGCCTGCTGCAGAAGGCCAAAGACTGTAGCCTTCAATATGGATTGAAACTCAACATCAAGAAAACAAAGATTCTCACCACTGGGCCAATAGGCAGCATCATTATAGATGGTGAAGAGATTGAGATTGTTAATAGTTTTAGTGTGCTTGGCTCCACAATCAACACTCTTCGTACCAGTAGGCAGGAAATGAAGAGACAAATTGCATTGGGAAAGTCAGCTGTTAGGGACCTCTCCAGAATAGTGAAGAGCAACAACATCAATCTAGAGACTAAGGTGCTCCTGATCCAGGCCATGGTCATTGCAATCACTTGCTGTGTGTCAGAGAGCTGGAAAAAGACTAGGGATGTTAGAAAGAGAATTGATGTCTTTGAGCTGTGGTGCTGGAGAAGAGTGTTGAATATACCATGGACTGCTAGGAGAACAAAAATGTTCATCCTGGAGAGGGTGAAACCAGGCTACTCCTTGGAGGTAAGGATTCTGAAGCTTCGTTTGACATACTTTGGACATGTTACATGGAGGGACCAGTACCTGAAGAAGGACATCATGTTTGGTAGGGTGGAGGGACAGTGCAAGAGAGGAAGACCCTGCATGAGATGGATTGATTCAGTGACTGGGGTGATGAGGATAGGTGCTTCAGAGACAATAAGGTTGGCACAGGATAGAGCAGGGTTTAGGGCTCTTGTACATAGGGTTGCTATGAGTCTCAAGCGACTCAATGGCACCTAACAACAAAAGCAACAATATAAAAAGCAGAGAAGATGAAAAGTTGACCGTACGTGGCAAAACGTTGTGGAAAGTATACAGTAACTATAAAATACGCTCTATTCTTGGGTATATTTGGACATTTTCTTACCAACATTTTCTTTGGTCCATAATGTAAATGCACAGGCCCAGTAGCTCAGACCTTTCCCTTGACAAGAGGCTTGACAAGAGGACAGGACCTACTGGGTATGGCGTTGACTGTGTGGGAAACCAGTGTGGAGTGGTACAGCGGGACAGGCTGAGTCTCATCACCTACCGGTACAGGCTCCTCTCTTTGTCAATCATCCTGGTGGCCACAGGCCCTGTGGGTCCCCAGAAGTTTTCAGCAATCCCCAAAGGCTCCATATGCAGGTCCTCCAAAAGGGCAGGCGAAGATAGGCAGGCAGATTTCCCTTGAACTGCTTGTGGGGAACTTTCTCCTGAAACAGGCAGGGCAGTCGTTAGCTCTAGGTTTTCCTGACAGATGTTCCACGGGTCCCTCCATCTAGCCTTTTCCAAGGCTGTGTCTGAAGTGCCCCCTCCCCTGCTCCTGGCTGCCCATCTGATCTCTGAGGTGGTCCAGCCCCAACTGACCCTAGCCCAGACTCTATCATCTCCCCTCTCCACTAGTCCAGCATGCCCCATCATGAAAGAGGAATTTGTGACTCAAAAGATGCGTGGATAAGGATAGAAAGGTCTCAGCATCCCTATATGAGTTGTGGGAGCCTCTGCTGCATCCCATAGACACTGTGGATAGGAGCAGGCCCAGTACTGAGGCTGGGAGAGATGGGAGCAGGAGTCACGCTAGTTCCTATGGGGAAGATCTCTCCTAGGGAGCAAGGAAGCCATCTCGTTCTGGATGGGAGATTGTCCCTGGTTAGAGGCAAAAAGATAGAGTGTATGATAGGCTCCACTCCCACGCAATCACAGGGCTCCCGGCCTGTCCCCTTCAAACTACCTGATTCTGTTCTCTGTCGCTTGAGCGAGGATTCGATACTCATCTCTCCCCCATCTTGACCTTCAGTAGGGTTCACCGTCCTTTGTTCCCTAAAAACAGGGTTATTTGTTCTCCCTGAGGCTGGGCTATCAGACATTCCCACCTTAAACCCAACTTGTCAGAATTTGAATCCATGACCCATGTCACAGACCACTCCTTTAATCTTGGTCTCTGTGAATGGCCCACCATCCACTCTCCCATCCACACCAGAACCAGATGTCCAGCTGTCCTGCCTCTCCTCCTGTGTCTCTTTAGTCAATTTATATACATAACTCACTGCTGTTATTTCACTCCTGACCCACAGCAATCTGGTGGGACAAGGTGGAACTGCCCATAAGGTTTCCATGGCTATAAACCTTTATGGAACACATTGTCTTCTCTTAGTTTTGCAGAGTGGCTGGTGGGTTTGATCCTCCTGCCTCGAGGTTAGCATACACAGAGGCTGATTTTTTTTTTTTTAATTTTCACTGCCAGAATTTATTTTAAACTAGTGATTTGGTAAGAATAATTTTTTTTAAGAATAATTTTTTTTGTTTTGTTTAGAGGCTGATCTTAAACATAACCAAGTGCATCATTTTGTTGCTGAAGTCCATTGTTTTTAAGGTAACATGGAAAGCTCTTAATTTAATCTTAAAGGCTTTGCTGTGACCTTGTCCATTTTCAGTTCCATCAGGGTGACTTTCTTCCTGCTTAGGGACCTGAAGACAAAAACAAAACAAAACAAAACAGAACAAAACAAAAAAAACAAAAACACCAACAAAACCAACTAACCAACCAAACTAAAGAAAAACCCCACCCCAAAACAAACCAGTTGCTCTAGTACATAGTTGGTTCCAACTTATGAAGACCCCATGTTTGCAGAGTGAGCCCTGATGGCTAAGTGGGTGAAGAGTCACCTTGTCGACCTTTCCAAGGCAGGCAGTGTGAATCCACCAGCTGCTCTGAGGAAGAAAGATGGGCAGTTCCCTCCCATGCCTTTTACAGTCTCTGAAATCTTACTGGAAGGTCAGCTGTGAATAGATTCTGACTTGACGGAACATTAACAATGTGCACAGAGAACAGTGCTATATAGCTTTCACTTCCGCGGATTTTTGCAAGCTGATTGTCAGGCCTGGAGGCCCTCTACTTCTAGATCAGGGATTCTCAAACCTGGAGTGGTTAAAAGTCACATGGAGGACTTGTTAAAACATAGCTTCCCGAGCCTCCCACCCTTGGCGATGCAGACTGGGCACGTTTGAGGTGAGGTTTGAGAATTTGCAGTTCCAGGGAGTTCCCAGGTGATGGCGATGCTGAGTCTGCGAATCCGCAGATCACACTTGTTTTTTCACAGATCACACTGGGAGTGCTGCCTCCGCCCCCAGTAACGCTGCCGCAGATACTTGCCTTCCTTCTCCTTCCTAAAGAAACTAAGCTCTTCTCAACCGCTGCCTCTGTCTGCCTGCAATGGACCCACTCAGGGACCCGCTAATGCCCTCCTGTCCTTCAGAGCTCACTCAGCTCAGCTCAGCTTGTCAAGCAGGGAGGCCAGTGAGCCTACACTGGCCACCGGTTTCAGGTGGAAGTACACAGGTTCGTGGGATAACTCGGATATTTGTTGCCTGGAGGTTGGGGCTGTGTCTGTTTTGTGCATTATTGTCTCTTTAGAGCCTCAGATAAGCATAAATGAATCCTCCTTTTAAATCCAAGAGCTCTTGCTCTTCCATTTCAAGTGTTGCAGCCGGGAGACAGGACAGGCAGTGAGCTGCGCTTCACTGTCACAGGGTAGAATAGGGAGTCAAGCGCTTTAAGGGGATCCCTGGGGTGGAAGAATTGTACTCCTACTCTTGTGGGTGACTTCTCAAGTTAGGAAGTGTGTGCTTGCGCGCGTGAGCGCACACACCTGTGTGTTGGTTTTCTATGTGTCTTGAGAAGTGAGTGCGTGTGTGTGTGTGTGTGTG